ATCTTTCTGATATAATTCCTCTGTGTATTCTTGCCACCTCTTCCTGATGTCTTCTGCTTCTGTTAGGTCCTTACCACTTTTGTCCTTTATTATGGTAATCTTTGAACGAAATGTTCCTTTCATATCTCCAATTTTCTTGAACAGATCTCTGGTTCTTCCCATTCTGTTGTTTTCCTCTATTTCTTTGCATTGCTTGTTTAAGAAGGCCTTCTTGTCTCTCCTTGCTATTTTTTGGAAATATGCATTCAATTTCCTGTATCTTTCACTATCTCCCTCGCATTTTGCTTGCCTTCTCTCCCCCGCTATTTGTAAGGTCTCGTTGGACAGCCACTTTGCTTTCTTGCATTTCCTTTTCATTGGGATGGTTTCCGTTGCTGCCTCCTGTATAATGTTACAAGCTTCCATCCATAGTTCTTCAGGCACTCTGTCCAGCAAATCTAAATCCTTAAACCTGTTCCTCACTTCCACTGTGTATTCATAAGGGATTTGATTTAGATTGTATCTTACCGGCCCAGTGGTTTTCCTACTTTCTTCAGTTTAAGCTTGAATTTTGCTATAAGAAGCTGATGATCTGAGCCACAGTCAGCTCCAGGTCTTGTTTTTGCTGACTGTGTAGAGCTTCTCCATCTTTGGCTGCAGAGAATATAATCAATCTGATTTCGATGCTGCCCATCTGGTGATGTCCACGTGTAGAGTCGTCTCTTGTGTTGTTGGAAAAGCGTGTTTGTGATGACCAGCTTGTTCTCTTGACAGAACTCTATTAGCCTTTGCCCTGCTTCGTTTTGCTCTCCAAGGCCAAATATGCCAGTTGTTCCTTTTATCTCTTGATTCCCTACTTTAGCATTCCAATACCCTATAATGAGAAGAACATCCTTATTTGGTGTCACTTCAATAAGGTGTTGTAAGTCTTCATAGAATTGGTCAATTTCAGTTTCTTCAGCACCAGTAGTTGGTGCATAAACGTGGATTACTGTTATGTTAAAAGGTCTGCCTTGGATTCGTATCGAGATCATTCTGTCATTTTTGAGATTGCATCCCAGTACAGCTTTCGCCACTCTTTTGTTGACTATGAGAGCCACTCCATTTCTTTTGCGGGTTTCTTGCCCACAGTAGTAGATATGATGGTCATCCGAACTGAATTCACCAATTCCCGTCCATTTTAGTTCACTGATGCCCAGGATGTCAATATTTATTCTTGCCATCTCATTTTTGACCACATCCAACTTACCCAGGTTCATGGTTCTTACATTCCAGGTTCCTATGCAATATTTTTCTTTACAGCATTGGACTTTCCTTAGTTGCATTCATCTCATCACACATCCTTAGAGCATAAATTCTGTAAATGCTCATCATCAATTCTGTTTCCTTCTTTTAACACTTGGTGGGTGGTTTGCAGTGTACAAGCTGACAATTAAAGTCAGTTCTATTTCACAATTCACACCCTGTGTCAGTTCACTGCAACTCTCTGTGAATACTTTCGCTCGTGATTAAGTCAAAATGTTGTTGAACTTCCTTTGATCTATCAAGGTTATTTCAGTTCTTGTTTTCAAGTCTACAAATTACTGTTCCAGCCATGAAGATCTTTTAGATTATCAACCCAGATTGTTTAGCCTGACTTGTCATAATGGCTTGCAGGAAAGCCAAATGTTTTACTAACCAAGATATAGAGAATGTGCAGTACTTCTTTGAGAAGGTTGCATTGATTTCAAACTTACAGAAGAGCACAGCGGAAAATACACTATTTTGGATCTGGCTATATTCAGGTTATTAGGAGTTCTGGGTAATAGAGGCACACAGAACTGCCTTCCAAGAATAATCTATCTATCTATCTATCTATCTATCTATCTATCATCATCTATCTATCTATCTATCTATCTATCTATCATCTATCATCTATCATCTATCTATCTATCTATCTATCTATCTATCATCTATCTATCTATCTATCTATCTATCTATCTATATCTATCTATCTATCATCTATCTATCTATCATCTATCTATCTATCTCTATCTCTATCTCTGGGACTTCCAAGCACACCTTCCGCTTCTCCTTTGAGATTTATTTCTCACCTCCATTCATGGTGTTGGTATTTAGCCTTGGAGCCCTAAATGACTTTGGCCTAGGGAACACAAAGGGTCACATCTGTCCATATAAGCGCTTAGATCAGGTTCAGGGGTCCTGCTCTGTGTTTACACCTGAGAAATGACTGTGGCCTGGTTTGTTGGTCATGGGTAAGCTGAACTATGGCTTGCCAGGACCAAGTGCATGTGTAGCTCCTGGAGAGGAGCTTATACCCGCTTTGATCCTCTCCTGTCCTTTTAGCTCAGTGTAGTGCAGCAGCTAAGCCCAAATTTTCTGTTGGCTACAGCTTGTGGTTAAGGAGGAGAGAGTTTAACTATGATTCTTCTTTTGGATGATGTGCTAAGCCAAACCTTGACTTAGCTGCCATGCCATGCTAAGCTACAAGAACCAAAGGAGTTAAACAGAGGAGCAAAACAGCAGCAATCTGCTACTGGGGAGCCAGCGCAATAGCACATTCCCCCTGAGCCATGATTTCACTTACGGTTACATGCAGTCCCAACCAAGGTTCTAGAATTCTCCATTCAGGAGGGTTGCCTGCTTCCTCTCCCTTGTGGCCGCTAGCAGAACATAAAGACTCTCTCATCTCAGAGATCATTTGCTGCCATGGCAATTCAATTGTCTATTTCCAGCTGCTAATTTTTAGAATAGTATTTTAGGGTCATTATCTTTATGTTATGTTTCTAAACTGTCACTTTAAGATTGTAAAGGTTTTTAAAATTAGTTAATTATTCCATTGGCCACTGTGTTTTATTTAGAAAAATGGAGTGACATTCAATGATAGTAATACTCAGAGTAGACCCTCTGAAATAAGTATACTTAAGTTCATTAATTTCAGTGGGTCTACTCTGAGTATGACTTAGTTGGATATCACCCATGGAATTAGTATGAATAAATCAAAATCATTTTACATGGAAGTCCTCTGCGTCTTGTCTGAAATAATACAGTCCAGCCAAAGGGTCCCATTGTGAATATTCTGATCATGTGTTCTTCTCTCATTTTTACAAGTTACTGAATTAATCAAATAAAATTATGTAAAAGGGTTTTCAGAAGATTCTCTTACTGACAGTTTTTAGGATTACAGTCATACCTCCAGTTGTGAACGTGATCCATGCGGGAGGCACGTTCGCAACCCACAGCATTCGTAGCATGAAGCGCTGCGTCTGTGCACATGCATGATGCAATTCAGTGCTTATGCGCATGCGCATGACATCATTTTGTGCTTCTGCTCATGTGCGAACATCAAAACCTGGAAGTAACCTGTTCCGGTACTTCCAGGTTCGGCGCGGTCCACAACCTGAAAATGTGCAAATTGCAGCGTTCGTAACCCGAGGTATGACTGTAATTTTAATTGATTTTATCTGCTATATGCTTTTGGTAATTTCTATGTACACTTCTTAGAAGCTTGGATGCTTAACCAGCATATAAGCAGCTGAAATAACAAATAACTGCTGATCATTGCAGTTAACATTGGCCAAGAGGTAACAAAGAACTGTAGCCAAAACACCAGATATGGAATCTGCAGACACACCTGCCATACAAATCTTTTCCCTCCATCCATATCGGATTCTAAGTATGGGGGGAGGGGAATCATGCCAGATTAATATTCCATCACAACTGTGAAGTGACCATTGGCAGGAACAGTTGATCTGCAGGAAACGGTCTCTTGCAATGTGCTTGTGCCATCTGGGAGCTCTTTTGCTCTTGTCCTGAAAGTGAATATTAAAGTGCATGCTGAAGAGTTTGACACAGAACCAGAGAGAAATCGCAAAATTGTGGACTGAGTAGATGCCTCTTGAGTTACAATAATTCTGTGTCCTTTTTGTCTTCCTGTGTATGCACAGATTTATCTATTTCAGGCCAAGCAGTATTTGTGGCTTTTGATGAGAATGGCACTTTCAGCTGCCCATCCAGTTGGTAACTTGGTCAACCTGTCTGGAAACTCCCCCCAAATCTGCAAAATGAAATGTGAAAGCTTTCAATAATGTGGCCAATGACGCATGACTGTGTGAACCAACCATTTGCATGACAGTCATTGAAAAGAAAAAAAATGAATGTAGTATATAGCAGGCATGTCCAACTCCCTGAGATCTACTCCCAGTATAAAAAACTGACAGTGATCTACCCACCCTTACCCCCCATTCCATTTCCTAGCTCCAACATTTGAGTTATCAAAACCAAAAACCCACTTCATCCCTATCATCATTGGGCCTCACTACAAACAAGGGACGCGGGTGGCACTGTGGTCTAAACCACTGAGCCTCTTGGGCTTGCCGATCAGAAGGTCGGTGGTTTGAATCCCTGCAACGGGGTGAATTCCCGTTGCTCTGTCCCAGCTCCTGCCAACCTAGCAGTTCGAAAGCACACCAAAAAGTGCAAGTAGATAAATACCGTATTTTTCGCTCTATAACACTCACCCGACCATAACACGCACATAGTTTTTAGAGGAGGAAAACAAGAAAAAAATTATTCTAAACAAAACAGTGGATGTATGATTTTTGTGGTTCATGCTGTGGCCACAGACATGTGATCTGACGGTGAGTTTGAGGTAGCCCAATGCAAAAATCCTGAGGAAACATGTGGATCCATGCTTTGTAACCACGTTTTTGCACCACTGCGGCCCCAGGCAACAGTGAGTGCGTGATTTTTTTGGTGCAAGCTGTAGCCATGGACATGCTATGTGATCTGATGGTGAATTTGGGGTGACCCAGTGCAAAAATCCTGAGGATCCATGTGGATCTGTGCTTTGTAACCATGTTTTAAGTGGGGAGGGAAGGAAAAGCACTCAAGGGACAAGGAACACGCGTGGGGTGGGTGGAGAAGGATGCTGTTAATAATGCAGAAGAGGGGTATAAGAGGAGAAGCAAGCAGGCTCTGCTTCTCTCCCTCCTCCCGGCTCACTGAAAAACTTTGCTGCTATTTAGCCAGCTGAGTGGGGAGGAGAGAGGACAGAGAGCCTGCTTGCTTTAAAGGAGCCAATCGGACAGGAGCCGCTTACACTCGTGTAAGCGGCTCCTCTCCTCTCCCGCTGTGCTCCTTTAAAGCAGGCAGGCTCTCTGTCCTCTCTCCTCCCCACTCAGCGGCTCTTCTCCCGCTTTGCTGTTTCAAAGCGAGCCATGGAGGAGGGAAGGAAGGGGACCATGGATCCTCTGCTCATGACTGCAGCAGATCCCCCCGCCACCCGTAGGCATTCGCTCCATAACATGCACAGACATTTCCCCTTACTTTCTAGGAGGAAAAAAGTGAGTGTTATGGTGCAAAAAATACAGTAGGTACTGTTCTGGTGGGAAGGTAAATAGTGTTTCTGTGCGCTGCTCTAGTTCGCCAGAAGTGGCTTAGTCATGCTGGCCACATGACCCAGAAAAACTTTCTGTGGACAAAGGCCGGCTCCCTCAGCCAGTAAAGCGAGATGAGTGCCGCAACCCCAGAGTTGGACTTAACTGTCAGGGGTCCTTTACCTTTACCTTTACAACAAGGGAAGATGGAATGGCGGGGGGGGGGGAGTTCACATGCTATTGGAACAAGTGGGTGATCTGGTGTGAGGTAACTATCCACCACCTGGCAGGTAAAATTGTGGGTGCCACCCCCAGTGCCGCAAGAACTTGTCAGAGATTGAGACCTCCTACCAAAGTGATTTCCCCCTCCGCAAGAAGTTGTGAGATTTAAAGCCTCTAGTGTTCCTAGACATTTAAAGACTTTCTTCCCAGACAAACCTTTACCCACACAGTTCAAAAACAGGCACTGTTCTCCTTATTTTAACCTTTATTTATAAAATATATTCTTATATGATAATAAAACAGGATAGATCAAATGTCAATAATCCACGAAAATGTATCACATTGCCTTCTGTGTTAAATCCCAGTATCTATTTTGAAAGCCAGCAGAACATGGGGGGGGGGGGCGGAGGGAGATCTTCTCTTTATCCCCCCTCCCCACCTTTAAAGTCTTGGTTATTATCACACTTGGAAATCCAAGCATATCAAGGTCAAGCTGAGCTGCTGTTTTTCAAAACAAGCTCTGAGATAACATCCAGATGGAAAAGTGTCTACAAAAAGCATTCCCATAAAATTCACACTCTTCACTTGTTCACAAATTGCCCTCCTTGCATGCATTAGTTCTCTGCTAAGTGGCTAAATACAAGGTGGTCCCTCATGCATCTGGGATCTATTTCGGCTGTTGATATCTCCACCATGATCCTGTAACAGCCAGTCTAGAGGCAGTGCATTGAGTCCCATGGCTCACAGACTGGACAGATCTTTAGGTGAGATGGGGTTGTGCTGCTCTTGTGCTGGCATTCCCAACTGGCATTGCGAGACATTGAAGACAGGTGCACCAGAACACGATAAGTCAGTGTGGAACTCTGAAAAAAGGGATATTATGTGAAGGAAGCTCATAATTAGTGGCTCACATAAAACTTGAACATAGTGGGATCCAATCATTACTATTTATTTATTTAATTAATTTGTATGCTGCCCTTCATCCATGATCTCTGGACAGTTAGCAGCAGAAAAATACAAGATGAAAACTCTCCCTCTCTCTCTCTCTCTCTCTCTCTATATATATATATAAATAAAAAACAGTGCCTCTTTCAGTCTGGAATCAATTTCAGAAAATGTCTACAATTCTGGAACTGTTCAAGTATATATGTCCCTTGCTTCGTTTACCAAGGCTGCATACAGACCATTTATAGCACATCTGCCTCCACCAAAGAAACTTCAGAACTGTAGTTATCCCTCACAGAACACTCTTAACAAACTACAATTCCCAGAAGTTTTTGGGGGGGGCAGGAAGGGGTGCTTTAAATGAGTGTTGTAGACGTGCTCTCTCTTCCAGCCTAGAATGTGGTTGAGTTGTTGCAGGACTCTAAGTCACTGCATGAAACAGAGGCAACACTTTTTAAAAAAAGAAAACAAAAGAGGGGAAAGAACCAATTATCCACCTTGTATTAAGGTAGGAGACCCTCAGAAAGGCCTGAATCAATCTTTGGGACATGGGTGTAGCCAAGGAGGGGCAGGGGGGCAGCTGCCCCCCAATAAATAAAAATCAATAAAAATCTGAGGTTCTGCTTCCCCCTAACAAAAGCCTGCCCCCCACAAAGTCCTGTCTACGCCCATGCTTTAGGAGGCATTTTAGCCCCACTTCAGCCCAGCTTTCATTTATCAGCCTCTGCTTTAGCCAGCGATCTCCTGAGCTCCCTCTCACTCAGCTTCCTATAACATCTTTGTTCAGCTTTCCTGCTTTTCCTTCCCCTCTTGCCTCTGATCCCCTTGGCTTGCTGCCAGGAGCTGGTGGCATCCACAGCCCTCCATAAATCACAGTTCCCTTCAGTCCTACCACACTGACCTCTCATTTCTGTCACAAAAGTTGCACTGTTAGCTGATTGTCTGACAGACCCTTCTCAATGAACCGCTAAGATGTTTGTGAACACACCATTAGATCCATGGCTGGCCCTTCCCTGAGGCAAAGTGAGGTGCCCACTGCACAAAGCAAATGTTAGGGGTGGCAAATTTTGTCCACAGGCTAAGGCTGAGTGTGAAGATCTCAGAGCAGATGCACTCTTGAGAGGCTTGCAGGCAGCAGAGAGGTGATGGGGTCTCTAACACGACTCACTTGTTTTCCTTTCCTGCTTCATTAGTAGTAAAACTTGGGCAGGACACATCATTAGATTAGATTTACACTGATGATGCAGTTTATTTCATCCCTTTTATAAAAAATAAAATAAAAGAAACCAAACACATCAACATCAAGTCATTAATACATAGTTCTCCATTTATAAACTTTTCAAAAAAAAAGGAACAGGATAATACTCCCCTGGTGTAACAGCACAAGGACACCAGACTGGAAACCATTACATGTTTCTTCTAGTGCCACTGTTAAAGAGCTCCTTTCTTTCTTTGTTAAGCAATTTCTGTGACATGCTTGTGCCGTGTCCATCCACCTGCTATTGTGGGTTTACAGGGATTTCTAATAAACTCAAAAGCCCCAACAAAGGAAGAGTGCTTGCTACAGAGGCACATGCTCAAATGCTTATGGCCTCTACTGCATATAATATAACACAATAACTTCATTCAATGCCAAATCCTAGATATCACTGAATTCTCATTTTTATTTCATATATCACCATCTACCTGAACTGCAAAGGCCGCCACCTCAGCATCAGAAATGAGAGACTGTTGCTTGAGCTTTTGTATATGTTTGCTCTAATTCAGAGACAGCCCCCACTAGTACTTAATAGACAATGGTGTGTGTGTGTAAGAGAGATAGAGTAAAACACGGTTCAGAAACTGCAAAGACAAATTTCTAGTGCCTGCATAACTCCATTGAGTTGAGTCTGAATTGTCTCATATTTTGTTCCAAATTTATGTCCAGCTCTGCTATTTTAATGATTCAGTTGTTCTGCCACTATTCAACTTTTCACAACCTTGGAAAATATATTTGTGCCTATTTGTTTATTTTCCCTTCTCTTGCTCTCAGTTATAATTGATTTCACTAACTCTCAGCAACAACATAGTGTTGCCAAATCAGATTGGCTTTATAAAATGATGACTTTGGCACCTCGTTTTCCTATAAGATTCCAGATTGGCTGGGATTATGTAAGCAAATACTCCAGGAGGGTGAAAGAAGCATCAGTCTGGTGTGTGGGCTGCCCCTCAAGAGGAGTCGGCAGCATTTAGCAGGATTTTTTAAAAAGGTAAACATTCACATAAAGTATTTTTCAGAAACATTTCACCATTTTCTACATGCAGATAAAAACTGGGCAATATTCACCGCATTGCTTATTATCTCCTTTCACAAGGGTCTTGCAGTGGAATTCCAAGCAGAAGACTTTTTTTTTTTTTTGCATTTTACAGAATAGCTAGCATATATGACAAAGGAAATATAAAAAATAGATTACTTAAATGGTTATGTCAGAATTGAGGAAAAAGCTGTTTTCAACACTGATATTGTACCTGGCTTGCAAGAGATATTTCAGGAGATATAAAAGATTTAAATAATGGATTCTTGGCACATTTAGTTCTAATGTTTCAGTATAAAAAGCCCTTTAAGCTCTCAGCATCAACCAAGGAAGTATTTCCTAATGGGATAAGTTTGTTTCAGCCAATTTCTGTTTCACCATATTGCAAAATATTTTGGTGAACTCTTCTAAACCTTTAAAAATACTCTTCAACTTCTACTAAATACAAAACAGGGAGAGGAATGTGAAACCAAACATTTAGATATTCTACAGTTAGTGTCAGATTGTTCCAAGGAAAAGGCAGGAAATTGACATTTATTAAAATAGTTATGAAAAATTATAGGTGACAGCCAGTGTTTCTCGGAGTAGGCCCATTGTCTTGGATATAATCCTACAAGAGGGATATGCTGTGCATTAAGAAATAAGTATAATTTTCCCTCTCTGTACTAGAAGAACCAAGCCATATTGTATCACTTTATAATAAACTGGAATGGGATGATTATTTTAGGCTTATGGTATTTTGGGAGCTGCTAGACCTTAACCACATATTTAAAATATTGCTGCTTCTGCAGAAACTGTCATAGAATCAGCATTTGACTGAGATTTTATATTTATATATATCTAAAAAGCTTTATATTAGAAAAAGCAAGCAAGGACAACTTGAAGGAGCTATCAGTCATCAAAACATTGCCTCAGTTATAGCATATGAGATCATTAACATCTCAGATTTCCATCTGTTTACAGGCAACCTGTATTCATTGAAACTATAAAGCTTAGTAAAGACTTTGACACCTGTAGGCAATCATCACTTGATAACTGCCTGACTTCTTACCAGACAACTGTAAAAACAACAACACCCATCTTATATATGATTGTGGGTTGGCAAAGGTCTTCTAGATAGCAATGGTTTGGCAAATTTATTCTACTGTGGTTTTGGAGAGGGAGAATGTAAGTAAAGGAGTGCTTGCTGAAGGCTGTATTATGTGGTTTTACCTACTTGCATCTTGGATCCAAAATAGATGGGGAATTAATTGCAGCTGGTGATAGTTAAAGACTCCAGTGGAGCCAGGGGGAAAATGCATATAGCTTAAAATATTTTTTTGCAGTTGTCAAAAGTGTTGGCTTGTGTTCTACTG